GAGAGAGAAGAGAAAGTGAAAAAGTGATTTGAAAAGTCACAACTTCGAAACTTAAACCCAGTCTTCCGCTCGAGCGTAAAACACTCCACTCGAGCGTCACTCACAGACTTACGCTCGAGCGTCCAAGCTCCGCTGACCCACTGGCTCCGCCCCATTGGCCTGACCAACTCCCTCCTGTACTGCCGGAATCTCACCCTTGCGTAACACATCCTATAACTCAAATATGAAGAAAAAGGAATGTAAACACGATAATAACCAACTACCAACATCCACGGACACATGTCCGGATCACTGTACAACATCTCCTGAAAAGCATTTATAAACGCCTCCCAAGTACCACCAACACGAGCCTTCTCGTACTTCCACCATTGACCCGCATCTCCCTTCAGTTGGAAGGATGCCAAGGTCACTTTCAGTGCTCCGTCCTCGATGCCAAGCATCTCGAACGTCTTACTCATTTGTTCTAGCCACTCATCAGCCTTCAGTGGCCCCTTCGGATCCCCAATAAACTCATCCGGATTAGACCGGAAGAACTCCCTCTTCAAGAAAGAAGGCCCTGCCTCAGCGGCCTGATTCCCAGCTCTAAGAATACCCAAAGCTCCTGCTATCTCTCTGGCCAAGGCACCCATAGCCTGCTGACCCACTGGCTCAGCCACATTGGCCTGGCCAACCCCTTCCTGCACTGCCGGAATCTCCCCCGGTAACGGTGCTTCCTGCCTCGCAGGTCTACCACGCCTAGCACCTCTTCCTCGTCCTGACATCCTAATAAAGGTAACACAGAACATTAGCACATTCACAAATGTGCCGAAACTAAACACTCACGTCCTAATGCATGGACAACTGTAATTCACTCCACATAAGCACATAAACACATAAGCACTTACGAATTTCATTTCCAGATAATGATAGTCCCGAGGCGTTACTAGAGTTCCGGTTAGAAACAGATTCAACCTAAAGTGCAGATAGTTTGACATGGAATTGTGCTTCTAAGAAAAATCAAGACTTGGAAACGTTACTTTCTCATATTTGGCCCACCATTCGTCCGATGCTTGTATTAACCCAGTTTCTTCGTTGTAACTTATGCCGGTTGGGCTGTGCCTTGTGTCCATAAGGCGTGCCCATGACTGCCAGTCCTTTTTCAGCAAGTTGTACTTGTTTGGGAGTTGTTTCACCTTATAGAACCTACTTGTACGGTCTTGGAAGGCCTTAGACACAGCCCTGTAGTCGAGTATTGTAACGCCCTCAAAAATAATAACATTAAACCCATCAAATAAGACATGCATTTACATATAAACTAACCACATTCTTTATTCATTAGAGTTCCATTACATAAGTATTACATGTTAGCATCCAAACAAAATGCCCTACGGGCCTACAGCTTTCCAAGTTAACACTTGGTTACAACAAAAGAGTACTAACTCATACACATTAAGCCCTTGGCTTGTATTTACATGTAATACATCAAAAGTAAAACGACAACATTATGTCCGCCTCAAGCCTCCCAAGCTATGTCCTTGGAGGTGGCATGCTTCCTGCACCTGAAAATGATATTCCCATATAGGGTGAGCCACAGCCCAGTAGAAATACACTAAACCAACCATGAACAATGACTAAAATATTAGCAATTGATAGATGGTCAACACTGATACAATCACATAACTCACATATTTATGTCATACGACTTATGAGTCCAAGTTTCCTTTCATTTTCTCTTTTTCAACAGATAGGCATGCTAGCTCTATCATCATTTCCACAGATATGTATAAAAACTATATCTCACATTCAGATAAGCATAAAAGCTATATCCACATTCTCAACAGATATGTATATCAACAATATCCACAGAACAATATCCACATTCACAGATAAGCATATAAGCTATATCCACACTTCTCTAGACAAGCATATGAGCTGTATCTACGGAGTTCATCCCCTATCTTCTCCCAACACTATCCGGTTTAGAGGTACATCCCCTATCTTCCCCTAAACCGCGGAGTACATCCCCCATCTCCTCCTCTACACATAACGTATACAAACACATGGGTTCTATATACAATCACTCAATACACATAGTTAATGTATTCTATCAACTGTCAAGCTCCATGACACACATCATTGATTAGTTTCAGTTTGCCTAATCATCATGCATTGTCTACAACAATCACGACTATCCTCCACCGATAGCCCAAAGTAGTTATTTCTAAACAGAAAATAAATGCACAATGGATATTCAATCAACATTTCATTTCCTCATTCTTCAGAATTAATTATCCCAATTAATTAAACAATGTAATTAAGCCATTTTCCATAATTACCATTTCAACCCTTAGGTCCCATTTTCATCAATGATTCAACAATCATTCTATTTTTCTATGCCAAACATGCATCTAGGTTTATTATGAATAAAACCCCAACTTTTGTAAAATAACACAAATGCCCCAAACTTTCACAAAATTACCAAACCAACCCCAACATCTCAAAATACTAAAATTTAAAGACAAAATCCATAGAGAGGAGTAGGATATCCCTACCTCGAAGTTTGAGCCAAAAAGGAGATGAAGACTCGAAGATCAACGTGCTCCAAATCCAAACTTTTTCAGATTAAAACAAAGCTCTCAACGCCCTCTATCTTTTTAACAAAGGCCCTAGGCTAGATTCACACTCTAGGGAGATCAATTCTTAGAGAGAGTGTAAGTTTAGAGAGAGAGAGTCTCGGATCTATGATTTGATCAAAAAAAGAAGATGAAAAAGTGATGTTCAAAATGCTACTGTCCGTTGATATAAAACACGCTCGCTCGAGCGAAGACTTGGTCACTCGAGCGACCAGACACAGAAACTCTCGCTCGAGCCAAGGAACTCTCGCTCGAGCCAAAAACTCAGAAGTGCGCTCGAGCGAAAGAATGCTCGCTCGAGCCAACAACTTGAACCCTCAGGTCTGTAACCAGAAGCACGCTCGAGCGGCGAACCTCTCGCTCGAGCGAAGAACAAACCAGACCGCTCGAGCCAAGAAAAGCTCGCTCGAGCCAAGAAACACAACTCTCAGGTCCAGAACCAGACGCCATCGCTCGCTCGAGCGAAGCCACTCTGGCTCGACCCACCAGACACAGACTCAACTCTCGCTCGAGCGACAAACTCCTCGCTCGAGCGAAGGGCCAAAAATCTGGGCAGCAACACTAGGCTCCCAAACACAATCAACCTGAAACAAACCTGTCCAACACATCCTATAACTCAATATACAAAGTAAAGAGGATGCAAACAAGATAATAAACAACTACCAATATCCACAGACACATGTCCGGATCACTGTACAACAAGGGTAAACCCGGGATCGCTATAATGATCGTATGCATGACCAACAATTACATGACCCACATCTGATTGCCATGGATCATGCATGAAAAGAGGTTTATTATGGAAGTGACGTTTGGTTCCATACTATGTCTTTCCTAATGGATCAGTATAGGAACCTATTGTTGGAGGCGTTTGAAAATCATCATCACTACCATGACTAAATGTAGAGCTAGATGATGCAATATTTTCAGATTTTCGTTTAGGCATTTTGAGTACTTAGGCTTGTAGTGAAGTGTGATGTATACAAGTGAGGTTAAATAAGGGTGTCACACGTGATCTATTAGTATTATTTTAATCATTGTTAATAGTCACATGTGAATAGTCATATGTACTAATGTCATGTCAATCATGTTCAATCATTTGAATGGTCAATAGTCATATGTACTAGTGTCATGATCAATCATTTTCAGTAGTTACATGTGAATTATATGAGTCACATGTGAATAGTCAAAGAGTAATAAAGTAGTGAGTATAATTTATTTGAGTGGTAAGTTAAGTCTAATAAACTAGTAAGTTAAGTCTTTTTAACTAGTAAGTAAGATTGAATAAAATGGTAAGTAAAGAGTATAAAGTAGTAAGTGGAGTTTATTTGAGTGGTAGTAAGTGAGGCTTATTTGAGTGATAAGTTAAGTCTAATAAACTAGTAAGTAGAGTCTTTTTTAACTAGTAAGTAAGATTTGAATAAAATGGTAAGTAAAGAGTAATAAAGTAGTAAGTAGAGTTTATTTTGAGTGGTAGTAAGTGAGACTTAATTTGAGTAGGAAAGTCTAATAAACTAGTAAGTAGAGTCTTTTTAAGCAGTAAGTATGGTTGAATAACATGGTAAGCAAAGAGTAAATAAAGTAGTAAGTGAAATTTATTTGAGTGGTAGTAAGTGAGACTTATTTGAGTGGTAAGTTAAGTCTAAATAAACTAGTAAGTAGAGTCTTTTTAAGTAGTAAGTATGGTTGAATAACATGGTAAGCAAGGAGTAATAAAGTAGTAAGTGAAATTTATTTGAGTGGTAGTAAGTGAGACTTATTTGAGTGGTAA